TCCCACCTGCAGCTGCAGGGTCAGGGGCTTTGACTGACACAGGCCAGCCTGAGCCAGGTGAGGCCAGCCCCTCTCCAGTCATGATGTCCAAGATCTCCTGAGGAAACTAGATGTGCTTGTCAAAAGAGAAAGATGGGGGACCAGCAGGTGGTGTGGAGGTTAAGGTGCTGGACACTCCCACATGGCTGACCACAGTTCAAGTCCTGGACCTGGTGGCTTGCTTTCTCACTTTCTCTCTCTCTCTGTCTCCCTCTGGTCAAATTAAAAAATAAATGAATGAATAAATAAAATGATTCTTAAAAAAAAAAAAAAGAGGGAGAGAAAGATGAATCGGACACAGGGCAGCAAAACTCAGGAGGGCTCAGCAAGCACTCAGCACGGGGACAGAGGGAGGGTGGCGCCCTTGTACCAAGGGCCTCTGGGCCTGGGACCTGCCCTTCTGTCTAATGGCCCCTCTTTTTCCAAGGCACACATATGAAGGTGCCCAGCCCCGCGTGGGGTTCGAAAGCTCGAGGCTCCTAGAGCAAGAGCCGGTCCTGGCCTCCCTCTTCTAACTGCCCACCACCTGCTGTAGCCAAGATTCCCAGCCCTGAGGGCCTCCCAGCCCTGCAGCAAGGTCTGCAGGTGTCCACGGGTGATGTGGAGGCCAAGTGTCTACACCAGCAGCCCTGAGGGCCCGCACCTCGCAGCTGGCGCCGAGTGCTCCCAGATCTTCCCCGGCAGATCCCGCTCCTCAGGGCGCTGAGCGAAGCGATCGACACTCCTGACATACTGATTTTATTCTTTCGTGTCTATCACAATGTACACTTGCTGCTGCTTTTGTTTAGGTTTCTGTCATAGGGCACATGTGGTCATTGGCGACAGATGCTAAGAGGGAAACCGAGAAATCACCCTCGGGGGGATGGCCACGCCACAAGCCCATCTCCCTCCTCCTCCTAGGATTTTGTGCACGCACACACACGTGTGTGATTTTCAAGTCACCAGGATTGGGCCTCGAACCATGGTCGACCGTGTGGGAGTCCAGTGTCCTAACCTCCAAGGCAGCTGCTGCCCTTCACAACATGTTTTTAACCACTAGCTCGCCTGTGTCTCCCACGGCCACTGTCCGAACCCAGGCACGGTCGCACTTCCTGCAGCAGGCGCAAGGGTGCAGGGTCGGGGTTCAGCTGCTCAGCGCCCGCCTGGGGGCGTCCAAATCTGCCCAACATGCTCCCCCGCAGCTCCCATAGCTGCTTCCCCCTCACCCGGAAGGGGGGAGACCAGAGCAGAGGGAGGGACTACACAGTGCAGAGGGCTCGGCCAGGACTCGGAGGCAAAGGGTCGGGCTCTCAGCCGTGACAGGAGCAGGTCATTTTTGTGGCTTCCGACTCAGTTTTCCCACTGGCAAAATGGGGGTGAAAGGGATCGCTTCCAGGAGGCGAGCAAGTCTTCGCTAGAGCTTCACCCTCCCGACTCTGCCAAGGCCAAGACAGTCCACATCGGGCCAGCCTTTGTGCAGGAAAGGCTCCAGACTGCAGGCCCACCCAGGACATGGAACTCCGGTCACGCCAGGCCTGCAGTTCCCTGACTGCAGGGGGGCCAGCCATCGGCTGCAGGACTGGAGGCAGCTGTGACTCTCAGAGGGCAGGAGCTGCCCGGAGGGCCTTCTACTCACATCTGCAAACACCAAAGTGAGGGGCCCCGAGGCCTCCAGACCAACCAGTGCGAATGTCACCCCGGTTTGTAAAGACCACAGAGGGCCCGCCAAGGCACAGCGCCAACACAACAGAAAGGGCCTGCATTCTGGGACCTCCCCGGGCTGGCTGGACGTGGTGAGGCCCGTGATCCTGGAGCTGCGACAGGAGGAGTGGCAGCAGAAGACCCTGTGGGGCGGGGGAGGGGGCCTCGCTCTCACTGTCTCTCAGAAAGAAAGAAACTTTAGAGAATAAAAACACCCCACAGAGATGGAGAGTCTGCGCTGTATGGGAGGAGCTGGAAGAGAACTGGGCACAGAGAGGTCAGGAGAGGCGAGAGGGGGCTTCGGGGTGTTAGTCTGGGACCCCGACGCTACTCCAGTGCACGCGTGTGCGCGTACACATGTGTGCAGTAGACAAGGAACGGAAACACCTTCTGCATACTAGGCTGGGGAGAACGCCACTAACTGTAAGGGTCAGAGCTCACTGAGGGGTGAGAGTGACTTTGAGGCCTGTGTGCAGAAAGAGCTTGAGAGAACAGAGCTCAGGAAGTCCTTTGGATGGGGTTAGAGCAAGTCCTGGCAGTTGTGACATGATTTTGGTTGCGGTGGCAGCCACCCAAGTCAGACCAGCTTAAGCCAGCAAGGGGAAACTACTGGCTCACTTGGTTGGAAAGGTCCGGGGTTCCAGCTTCAGGCATAGCAGGGCCCAGGCTCGGACAGTGCAGCGAGGACCAGCCATCTCCTCTCCTGCCTCAGCTCTGCTTCCTTCCCTGCCGGCTCCATCCCCCGCAGCCTGAAGCCTCCCTCCTGCCAGCACTCACCACTCACAAGGAAAAGAGCGCCTCCTCCCACCACGGACTCGCTGGCCCCACCCACAGTCCCTGTGCCCAGGGAGAAGGGACACACCGCCTGAGCAGCCCTTGAGCAGGTAGGGAGTCTGATATACCGGTGGGAATTCAGGTGGTCTGGGCTGGAAATTAAAAAGGGAATTGTGGGGATGTAAATGGAGCCCAGGGCTCCTCACCCTGCACCAACCAGCCCTGGGGGCTGGAAAGCATTACCTCTCATGAACCCCAGCTTTCTCCTCTGTAAAAGAAGGTGACAAGACCGGCTGCAGATGGCCGCCATGGAGACCAGGCCAGACAGCGTGCAGAGCACCTGGCTCAGCAAATGCTCTTCCTTCCCCATTGTTCCCCCTCCAGACTGCGGCCCCGCTCCTCCTGCAGCATCACTCTGTATCCCTGGGAGTGCCTGGCAGAGGAGACGAGAGGTGGCCTGCACCTGTTCACTCCCCGTGCCCCACTCTGCCATGGCAGACAGGGGCTGGGTGTGCCAGGAGCCAGTCAAGGGCCAGGACTGGGCTGGGGCTGGGGCCACAGAAGAACACCTTCAGCTTGGAACGGCAGGTAGGGATGGGGTCAGGACAATCCATGGGGAAAGTGGGGACAGGAAGGGAGGAACAGCAACAGACGGTCACAGAAATGACCTGCGGGGTCACCAGGGGCCGGGCTGGGTGGGAACCACCCCTGGCTCCAAGAGGAATTCTCTCCTTTTTTGCTGTCCTAATTGCCAGAGGGCCCACATGCTTACCAGAGAGAAACAGAGACAGAGAGAGAGGGAGAAAGTGCCCCCCGGGTGGCGTGGCCACATCCCTGTTCCACCTGTTGGGATTTTGGACATGCCTTCATGCGTGCCCAGTGTGTTTTTCAAGTCACTGGGGCTGGGACTCGAACCACAGTTGGCCATGTGATATCCAACTCCCTTAACCAGTAGGCTGCAGGAAATTCCTCAGAACCGCCCCACCCACTGTGCCTGGACAGGGCTATAACACGCCCCAGCAATAACGCCCCAGTCAAGGGGTGCTGACCTCTGAAATGGCAGGAAGCAGTACGGAAGGAAGAGCCCAGAGGAAAACAGGGAGGCCGGAGGCTGGGGCACTCCAGGGAAGCCCGGCTGCTCTTCCCACCCAGAACTCGGCCAGCGCAGTGAGTCCCCTTGACCCGCCGTGGGATAAAGACCCGTGTCTCTCCCACACACAGGCCAAGCCCTGAGGGCCTCGTGGAGGGCTGAGGCCCACAAGGAGCCCTGATGGGCATCCCCATAGCAGGGGCCTGGGAGGGGCCTGTTCACACACGTGTTCAGGGTTCATGCAGACATGGCACCCCCCCAGAAAGTGCCCCAAGCCCACCCCTGGCTCCTCACCCACCATCCTGGAGAGGGTGGGCAGCTACAGTACTCCCACCCACGGAGCCTGTCCACGGGAGGAAAAGGAGCATGCTGAGCGAGACCTGCTCTCAGCCTCAGAGGTCCCTGCGCTCACGCCTCCTCTGCTGCCATGCAGACACCCTCGCACAACCGGACACCTGGAGCCTTAAAGCCCTGATGCGGCCAGTGCTCAGAGGGGGCCCCGTGGTCTCAGCCCTGGGCACTGGGGACACTGTCCATGACAATGTCCCTCAGACCTGGACACCTAAAACCATGGGCCATGCTCAAATCCTTCCCAACTGGCACCCTCACACACTGCCCATGCTGACCCTCAGACCCAGGCGCCCTCACCCACTGCCCACGCTGACCCTCAGACCCAGGCGCCCTCCCCAACTGCCCGCACTGACCCTCAGACCCAGGCGCCCTCCCCCACTGCCCACGCTGACCCTCAGACCCGGGTGCCCTCACCCACTGCCCACGCTGACCCTCAGACCCGGGCACCCTCCCCAACTGCCCGCACTGACCCTCAGACATGGGTGCCCTCACCCACTGCCCACGCTGACCCTCAGACCCGGGTGCCCTCCCTCACTGCCCACGCTGACCCTCAGACCCAGGAGGCCTCCCCCTCTGCCCACGCTGACCCTCAGACCCGGGCGCCCTCCCCCACTGCCCACGCTGACCCTCAGACCTGGGCGCCCTCCCTCACTGCCCGCGCTGACCCTCAGACCCGGGCGCCCTCCCCCACTGCCCGCGCTGACCCTCAGACCCGGGCGCCCTCCCCCACTGCCCACACTGACCCTCAGACCTGGCTGCCGTCTATACAGAGCAGGCTCCTCCATGCTCTGGGTCTTTGCAGCTGGCCACATCGGCTGGGTCTGGAGCCAAGACAGACTGGACCAGGTGGGCGTCTCAGAGACAGTGGCTGGGACTTAGCAGCTCGGAGCACCGCAGACAGGCAAGTGCAGGTGCTTTTGCAGAGCAGCGAGGCTCCCCTTCTGGTGCCTCTCCTCCTTCCCTCACCAGAGGCAGGTCTTCTCTGTCCAGCCCTCCTTTCCCACCTCCAGGCCCTTGCTCATGTCCCTCGGCACAGATGCTGGACTCTCATCTACTGGATTCTCACCTGTTTTCCAAGGTGTGGCTGGGGGAAGCCTGTCTGCTCCGGGAAGCCTTCCAGACCCCTCTTCTGATGGCGGGAGTAGTTACCGCCTATTTCACAACCTGAATCCGCGATGGCCCTCTGGTATAACATTCGTTCAACTGACTCTATGCAACAAAAAGCATTAGGTGTTTCTTCTGTTGGGGCGCCAAGACGGGCATCCCCCAGAGATGGCAGTCCTGACCCGATGGGCACCCAGAACCAGAGCCCGTGCAGGATCTCGGCGGCGACCCCTCCCAGCAGGCCATGCGGCTGTGCAGACCAGAGCTCACCAGCCTGCGGCCCAGAGGGCTCCAATTCTACAGGCAAGAAACGGAGGCTTGGAATCGGGCGGCTGGCTACCACTGGAACCACTGGAACCTGGATCCCAGGTCTGTGTGACCCCAGAACCTACCGGGGTTCCCTCTCATCCCACTACCTCTCACGCTAGGCTTTCAGTGGCGAAGCAGTAACTGACTCATGGTCCGGCTGTACTTTTCTGCCCCTGTCTGCCTCTGCACCCCTTCTCTCCCTACCTGGTGCGCAAGCCCGCGGGGGCTGTGCATTCTCAGCTGCTTCCTGCGTTTCTGGGAAGCTCTCGTCCTCGCTCTACCTTTATTTCCCTTCCAATCCGAGCAGCGAATTCGTTTCCTATTCCATAGCGCCACCTGGTGGCCACGGAGAGCACCGCGCGTGTTTGATCAAATGGGCAGAGAGAGGATCCGGTCTGAAGGCAACCGGGATCTCACAGCAACACCCGCTTCCCCTGCAGTGCACTCTTCTCTCACACTCACACTCACACTCACACTCACACTCACTCCCCTGTGCCCTCCGGCTTAGGAAGGAGATGTGAAAGGCTCCGTCAGCACCAGCTGGTTCTGATGGCTGCTGAGCACATCCAGCACAGAGCAGGGAGGCCGGTCCTCAGCACAGTCCTCCTGGCCAGCAGGCCCCAGGGAAGAGCCATCAGCGGGAGGGGACGACTGCAGCGCTAGCCTGGCCAGTGGAGGGTGGGCTTACCCCAAGGCCTCAGCCCGGCGCCTCTGTCCTCTAACTCAGGGGAAAACGTGTGGCAAACACTCCTCACTCCGCTGACAGCACTTTAAGACACTGATTCAGAATTTGAAATTGTACATACTGGATTTTTTAAAAAATTCTTTTCACATCAATGTTCATATATTACAAAACCAAGCTAAAAAATCTGGGTGTTAAAATGTTAATGAGGGTTATTTGTGAGTGGTGAGATTTTTTATATATCTTTCTATATATTCCAACTTTCCTAGTTATCCTGGCATACTTTCATTGCAGGGAGAAAAAGCCATGTTCATCTCTTTGGAAAGTAGAAACCGCACCTGCAGCGCTCTGAGGAGCAGTGGCACAGAACTAGCCTGAAGGCCAAAGGTCAGGTCATACACTCACAATGACTGTCCTGGGTCAGTCCCTGCCAGGCCCGCCATTCTGTCCTCCATAAACTAGAGATGGTTCCAGCTGCCAAGCTCACAGTTTTGCTGCAAGGTTTAAATAAGGTCATAGGAATAAAATCACTAATAAAAAATATTCGCTAAATATTCCTTGAGTGAATGTTTATATAGTTGCTTTGGTTTCATTGTTAGTTTTTGCTGTAGGGTGTGTGCTACCTGGTCCAGGATTTGAACGGCACAGCCAGCCATGTGAAATCCAGTGTCTTAACCTCCAGGCCACCGGCTGGCCCTGTATAGTGGTTAATATACTCAAGATTGAGCAATTCAATGTGATGGAAACTCAGCTCAATTCTCTTTAAGAAAAGGAAAGGGAGGGGCCAGCAGGTGACGTGGTGGTTCAGGCTCTGACTCCCACGTTGCCAGCCACAATCTGATCTGGACCCGGTGGCTTGAAACTCAGGCCTGGCACATGTGTGTGGTGCCCAAAATCCCAAGAGAAGGGGTTGCAGCATACCCACACCCACAGGGTGATTTCTCACTTTCTCTCTTACTGTCTCTGTCTCTCTTCAGTGAGTACATATGCCCTATGGCAAATGACGCATAGCCACACCCACAGGGTGATTTCTCACTTTCTTACTGTCTCTGTCTCTCTTCAGTGAGTACATATGCCCTATGGCAAAAGTCTTAGGAGAAAAGAAGAGAGAAGAAAAGGAAAGGAAAGAGAAAAGAAAAGAAGAAAAGAAAAGAAAAGAAAAAAAAAGAAAAGAAAAGAAAAGAGAAGAGAGGGAAGGGATATTTAATCATAAAGCTAAACACTAACGTTTGGGTCTCTGGCACAGTCCCATCAGGGTGCTCCAACAGGGTCATCGGAAATCTGCTTTATCATCCGGGGCTTTCTGCTGGCCCAGCTCTCCCGCAGGCATTTGGCTCCCGAGGTGGCACTTCAGCAGGCTCTGCTCCTGCGTGCTCTCAGGCCCTCCAGCAGGGAAGCTTCTCTCCCAGTAATTCCAGCAGAAGTCGCCCAGCCCCTGGTCAAACGCTAAAGCAGTAGCGGTGACTGCAGGCTTGGGGTGGCCGGCACTCCTCCAGGCGGGAGGGTCAGGATCTGCCCTGCCAGGACCCTGATTATTTGTAGTGTTTCCCAAAGGAAATGAGATGAGCTCTGAATGCACGTTAATCAAGGACCAGAGCGGAAGGCTGTCTCTACCTCGCAGGAAGTTCTATTAGCCTAACCGCCTATGGGAGGAGCCACGCGGCAGTGGGGTTCGTGGGGCCGTGTAGTCTGCACAGTGGGGTCTGCGGATGGTTCCTCCTGTAGCCAGGTCACTCTGTGACCAGGGAGCAGCTGCCAGCAGGGTCTCAGTGCCTCCTCGGGCAGTGTTGGAACAGAACGAGGTATGGGGGTCACCATGACAGGAGGTGATAGGACTTGGAGAGTGTGGGTGCAAGTCCTATTTAGAGGGTGCATGGCAGTGCCTTGTGAGGCAGGCCCTGTGCTAGTAGGTCTTCTATAAGAGATCCTGATTTTTTTAAAGAATTATTTATTTTTATTTATTATTATTACTTTTAAATTTGATTAGAGAAAGAGAGAGAAAATGAGAAAGGAAGTTACCTGGTCTGGGACTCGAACCACAGTCTGTCATGTGGGAGTCCAGCACCTTAACCACCATGCCATCTACCGGCCCCTCCCAATTATTTTTTTAATTTGCCAGGAGAGATCCTGATTATTTTAAAGAATTATTTATTTTTATTTATTATTATTACTTTTAAATTTGATTAGAGAAAGAGAGAGAAAATGAGAAAGGAAGTTACCTGGTCTGGGACTCGAACCACAGTCTGTCATGTGGGAGTCCAGCACCTTAACCACCATGCCATCTACCGGCCCCTCCCAATTATTTTTTTAATTTGCCAGAGGGTATGTACAATCACCAGGGAGAAAGAAAGAGACAGAGGGAAAGTGAGAAATTACACACACACACACACACACACACAACTAGGTCCAGGATATGTGGGATCCAGCTGCCCTCACCACCACACCACCGACTGGCTTGAAATCTCCCATTTATTCAGTGTTAAAAGTTAGGGCCAGGCCCATAGGCTAGTCAAAAATACAAATGTCTACAGTAATGGCTGACGTTTGTATCACGCTCTGACCCACCAGGTGCTAATAAATCATGTCGAGAATACCCTCCTCTCCCCTTTCTCTCTGCCCTCCTCGCTCTTTCTCTATCCCATAGACCAAAGAAAAGCTGTGGTGATGACCACACGCCCGTGACCTGCGCGCCGCCGTGAGAAAGCACCGAGCGGTACACACGGATCGTGCCGCAATGCGGCTACCAGAAACACATTCAGACACTTTCCAGTTTTGTTCAATCCTGAAAAAGGAAGGCAGGATGCATACATGCTATGATACGGACAGACCTTGAACACGCGTGCACGGCGGAAGGGCAGACACAGAGGGTCACACAGCGTAAGACCCCATTTATGAGGTACTCCAGATAGGCAGAAAGCACTCGGGTTTGGGCCTGGGTCTGGGGTCTGCGCCTAGTGGGTGCGAGGTTTTCTTCTGGGTGATAAAAAGTGTGGGGCGACTGTACTACATGGGCCACCAACGGCCCATGGTGAGATGGTAAATTTCCTGTACGTTTGACCTCAATATTTTCTTTTAGAGCTTTTGCTATAGGGCACATGCGTTCACCAAAGGGACAGAAAGCGAGAAATCACCCCCCAGGGGCAATGGCCACACCGCAATCCCCTCTCCTCCATTCTCCTCTCAGGTTCTTGGGCACGCACAGGCGCCCAACGGGAGCTTTAAGTCGCTGGATCCCAGACACAAACCGTTGACAAGTACCCAAGAGTCCAGCGACATAACCATTATGCCATCTGCTGGTCCTGACCTCATATATTTTAAACGTTTTTTTAAAATATGCCCCTAGCCAAATAAAATATACCTGGGGGCTCAACAGGACAAGTTTTAAATTCTAGTCAAACAGCCCCTAAAGTCCCTTTTCACACGCTCACACTCTGCACTTCCAAGAACCAAAATGTCGCCTCCAGGCCAGGGCCCAACTGACCACAGCGTGGAGCAGGGAAGACAGAGGCTTCTGTCTCCTCTGAGCAGATCCTCCCAAAGATCATTCAAGGCCAGAAAATAAAAGTCTGCTCGAGCTGGAAGCAGGCCAGGGGTTTTCTCTCTTCTTTTTTCAAACTGCCCTTTGCCACAATGAAGGGCAAGGAGTTGCATCTGGGTGACAGCAAAGGGACTTTGTTGACACAGCCCAACTCCAATTTTTGTGAAGTTAATAATTAGGCTGTCATCCCTCTGCTCTGGAGCAATTAGGGGCCTACAGAGGGGCTGCATGGGCTCTATTATCAAGGGAAATTATAAATAGAAAAGGGCCCCGCTGGGGGGCTTCTGCACAGCATCCCCCCTGCCCTCTGTGCAGCGTCTCAGCAAGCCTGGCTGTGTTGACTCGGCTCTGGTTGACAGCTTGAATCCCAGCTGCCCTCCTTGCTATAGGGCACATGCGTTCACCAAAGGGACAGAAAGCGAGAAATCACCCCCCAGGGGCAATGGCCGCCCTGCATTCCCCTCTCCTCCATTCTCCTCTCAGGTTCTTGGGCACGCACAGGCGCCCAACGGGAGCTTTAAGTCGCTGGATCCCAGACACAAACCGTTGACAAGTACCCAAGAGTCCAGCGACATAACCATTATGCCATCTGCTGGTCCTGACCTCATATATTTTAAACGTTTTTTTAAAATATGCCCCTAGCCAAATAAAATATACCTGGGGGCTCAACAGGACAAGTTTTAAATTCTAGTCAAACAGCCCCTAAAGTCCCTTTTCACACGCTCACACTCTGCACTTCCAAGAACCAAAATGTCGCCTCCAGGCCAGGGCCCAACTGACCACAGCGTGGAGCAGGGAAGACAGAGGCTTCTGTCTCCTCTGAGCAGATCCTCCCAAAGATCATTCAAGGCCAGAAAATAAAAGTCTGCTCGAGCTGGAAGCAGGCCAGGGGTTTTCTCTCTTCTTTTTTCAAACTGCCCTTTGCCACAATGAAGGGCAAGGAGTTGCATCTGGGTGACAGCAAAGGGACTTTGTTGACACAGCCCAACTCCAATTTTTGTGAAGTTAATAATTAGGCTGTCATCCCTCTGCTCTGGAGCAATTAGGGGCCTACAGAGGGGCTGCATGGGCTCTATTATCAAGGGAAATTATAAATAGAAAAGGGCCCCGCTGGGGGGCTTCTGCACAGCATCCCCCCTGCCCTCTGTGCAGCGTCTCAGCAAGCCTGGCTGTGTTGACTCGGCTCTGGTTGACAGCTTGAATCCCAGCTGCCATCCGAAAGGCCTCTAAATTCTGCCTCTGTCATCCCAGCCTGACTTTTTACGCTGTCCAGAGCAGGGCCATGCCGCCCAGCTGAGCCGCAGGAGACCTGGGTGAGATAAAGGCCTTTGTTTAAGTCGCCTCCGACTCCAGGGTCTGAAGGTGTCTGGTGCTGAGCAGAAAGAACTGGGCTCAGCCGGACAGGCCAGGGTGTCAGGGACAGCGAGTGACAACCTGCTCAGTGATTGCCCCAGGTCAAGGCAGGTTCCCAGTCAGGAGGGGAAGCCCCTGCAGGTACAGCTGTGGCAGGAGGCAGCCCCAGTTCTAAGGGTCTTCCCTCCGCTTGCCTGCTTCACCCAACATGTGGGCACACTCTTAATCAGACCGGACGGACACAGTTCATAGTTGAAGAAGAAAACGCATTCGTCACTTCAAGAGGATATTGGGGTATGTAACTCTCAGGGCCAGCAGGTAGCATGGAGGTTAAGATGGCTGGATCCCACATGGATGACTACGCAGTTAGAGTTCCAGGCTTGGTGACCTGAAAATCATGCTGGACATGTGTGCGTGCATGCCCAAGATCCCGAGAAGAGAATGGAGGAGAAGGGACTGCAGTGTGGCCATCCCTTCAGAGAGTGATTTCTCACTTTCCCTCTCTCTCCCCAATGAGCAAACTCACCCTATGGCAAAAAAGATCAAAAAAAAAAAAAAAACAAATAAATAAACAACACTGAGCAGACCCAGCCTTGGCAGAAGTATCACCCTGATCAATAGTGTGAGAGCCACGTGGCTGACACAGGTTCGGATCCTGCGTCGACCTGAAATACAGTGGGCGCTCAACCTCGCGGTCCTGACTAACTGGAAGGACTGACGAGACTCCAGGAGGGTCTCCCTCGCTCTCACGTGTGTGCATGCAAATGTACTTGCACTGCCTCATGAAATAAATACAAAATAAACGTGATTAAATGAAAATGAAAACTGCAAGCAGGGGTCAGCATTTGGCATCTGGACTCGCACATGGTCCACTACAATTTGAGTCCTGGACCCAGCGGCTTGAAAATCATGCCAGGCACATGTGTGTATGCCCAAAATCCCAAGAGGAGAAGGTGAAGGGATTGTGGCATGGCCTTCCCCACTTGGGGGAGTGATTTCTCACTTTCTCTCTCTCCCTCTCTGGGGAAAAAAAAAAAAAAGCCTGTGTTCAGACTAAATGAGGTGCTTCCACAGGGTGACACTTGGCAGCTCTGGTGTGGAGGGATGCTCTGGCTCACCGACCCTTCCTCTGGCCTCACTGGTTTTGGTCTGAGTCAAAGTCCCACCCTTCTCTCCCAGTATCTTTCCACACAGCAGTCATGAGAGAGGAGATGGTCCACAGCCCAAGGACCTATGCTCAAAGCTGGGCTCTTCCAACAGCTGTGTGACTTGGGACGAGTCACTGACCTACGCTGGGCCCCAGCTTTCTCATCTGTCAACTTGAGATGACCTTTCCTGTGTCACAGGGTTGTTGGGGACCTGAATGGAATGGATACAGGACCA